CTTTCTGCGGCTGTTGCCATTTGTAAGGTATTTTCATTACTATAATTAACATAATCCTGTTGGAATTAGGAGGTGTGGAATGCTGGAAATAAGCAAGGGAGAAAAAAACATTCAGGAAGGGAGAGGGAGAGAGAGAAATGCTTATTCTAATTAAAATCCTAAATGTAAGAAACAGAAATGTTCGATATTAACATTAACACAAAGGTTAATATGTATACTGTTAGTATTCCACAATTAGTGACTTTATGTTCATTTTGTACTATCATGTTCCTACATTTTTAAGCAAATTCCTGAACTTTAGTTCTAAGACAACTGGCGTTCAAGTTCTAGTGACCCAAACATTGCAGGAATTTAAAAGAAGGTTTAAGAACTTTGATTGATATCAAGTAAACTAAAAATAAACTATTAAAAATATTAATGTTTGAATTCATTTATTTCAATTATTTGTTAACTAAAATAAAGATAAAATAAAATAAAATTCAAATATTACTTAAGACTTAAAAAACAAACGTTAAAGTTTAAGTTTAAGAACTACAATTACTAAAATAAAATAAATGGAAATAAAAATAAATGCATTTAATATTTAAAAAACTTAATAAATAACTTAAACATTTCTAAAAATTATCTGAAAATTAATATAAAAAAACATATAATATTACATAAATAATACTAAATAAGACTTTAGATAAAACTGATGAAAAAAGCCTATCAAATCAGTCTAAGGTGATCTCTCAGTCTAGCCAAATCTGGTAAGGCCTGTCAGTTTAGATGGTTTTAGAGTGTTTTTTAGACCAGCAAACTGACCAGCTAAACATCAGCTTGGTCCGGCTGGGAGAGCAGTTAGAAGCGCTTAATCCAACCAAGATCAGCAATCCACCTTTAGCTTGTTTTTTTCAGCAGGGTTCAACTTCAGTTACACCATTTAGACAAAAGCACCACACTTGACTTACACACACATGTCCGAAACACAGCTGGCGACAAATGGATTTGGGTCAATGTTCTCATGGCAGGAGATGAAAGGAAAGAAAAGCAATGCGCTGCACTTCTCAATGGCATCCTGCTCAGATAACACACAAACAGGCAAAGTTGCTAAAACACATTTTAAGTTGAATAATCAAAAATATTGTCATATTAATATTTTTTAACTCTTGTTTTAAACTATGATACATACTAAGACCCATTTAGCTCAGTTCAAACCCATTATGCAATGCGTGAAAGCGTACATCCATATCGGACTCAGATGAGCAAGGTCCAGGGAAATCATCATCAACCTCAGGACAGGGTCTCTCTTGGGGCAAATCTACTGCCCAGCTGTTCCCAAAATCAGCAATGTCTTCAGAGACTATACCTAATAGTGCAAAATGCAAAGCATGAAGGACACCATAATACACTTTTTCCAACAGAAATGATAAAATTCTGTTTAAGAATTAAATTGCCCCTAAAATGTTACAACTCATCTCTAAATAGACAACAGTGGGATTGACTGAGTATCCAACTCTGCTCAGCTTTGATATAATTGTCCTGAATTTGCTGCTGACTGAGATGATAAGTGTGTGTCCGGGCCTGTTTGTCTCACCGCGGCTGCTGCTGAGATCATCCGATCCGTCATCATTATAGTTTCCACACAGACCACAAGGCCTTCCTTTGTGTGCTTCAGTCATTTTGAGGTAGACTCCAGAGCTCCCGTCCCATGCCAGAGAGAAGCCAAATGTGCTCTTCACCAGGATGTAGTCAGCCAAGCGCTCAATGAAAACATTTTTGTACTATCATGTTCCTACATTTTTAAGCAAATTCCTGAACTTTAGTTCTAAGACAACTGGCGTTCAAGTTCTAGTGACCCAAACATTGCAGGAATTTAAAAGAAGGTTTAAGAACTTTGATTGATATCAAGTAAACTAAAAATAAACTATTAAAAATATTAATGTTTGAATTCATTTATTTCAATTATTTGTTAACTAAAATAAAGATAAAATAAAATAAAATTCAAATATTACTTAAGACTTAAAAAACAAACGTTAAAGTTTAAGTTTAAGAACTACAATTACTAAAATAAAATAAATGGAAATAAAAATAAATGCATTTAATATTTAAAAAACTTAATAAATAACTTAAACATTTCTAAAAATTATCTGAAAATTAATATAAAAAAACATATAATATTACATAAATAATACTAAATAAGACTTTAGATAAAACTGATGAAAAAAGCCTATCAAATCAGTCTAAGGTGATCTCTCAGTCTAGCCAAATCTGGTAAGGCCTGTCAGTTTAGATGGTTTTAGAGTGTTTTTTAGACCAGCAAACTGACCAGCTAAACATCAGCTTGGTCCGGCTGGGAGAGCAGTTAGAAGCGCTTAATCCAACCAAGATCAGCAATCCACCTTTAGCTTGTTTTTTTCAGCAGGGTTCAACTTCAGTTACACCATTTAGACAAAAGCACCACACTTGACTTACACACACATGTCCGAAACACAGCTGGCGACAAATGGATTTGGGTCAATGTTCTCATGGCAGGAGATGAAAGGAAAGAAAAGCAATGCGCTGCACTTCTCAATGGCATCCTGCTCAGATAACACACAAACAGGCAAAGTTGCTAAAACAGATTTTAAGTTGAATAATCAAAAATATTGTCATATTAATATTTTTTAACTCTTGTTTTAAACTATGATACATACTAAGACCCATTTAGCTCAGTTCAAACCCATTATGCAATGCGTGAAAGCGTACATCCATATCGGACTCAGATGAGCAAGGTCCAGGGAAATCATCATCAACCTCAGGACAGGGTCTCTCTTGGGGCAAATCTACTGCCCAGCTGTTCCCAAAATCAGCAATGTTGTCAGAGACTATACCTAACATTGCAAAATGCAAAGCATTAAGGACACCGCAATACACTTGTTCCAACAGAAATTATAAAAACCTGTTTCTTAAGAATTATTCAATTGTCCCTAAAATGTTACAACTCATCTCTAAATAGACAACAGTGGGATGGAAGTGTTCAGAAGGAGTATCCAGCACTGCTCGGCTTTGATATAATTGTCCTGAATTTGCTGCTGACTGAGATGATAAGTGTGTGTCCGGGCCTGTTTGTCTCACCGCGGCTGCTGCTGAGATCATCCGATCCGTCATCATTATAGTTTCCACACAGACCACAAGGCCTTCCTTTGTGTGCTTCAGTCATTTTGAGGTAGACTCCAGAGCTCCCGTCCCATGCCAGAGAGAAGCCAAATGTGCTCTTCACCAGGATGTAGTCAGCCAAGCGCTCAATGAAAACATTGCGCACTGTCTGCGGCAGACTCAGCCTGAATACATGCACAAGAATCAGACAAAAAACACAAGAATTATAAATGGTATAAAACATTATAAATGTCTTATTTACAAATAAAAGCCTCAATTTAATATTTACTATTAATATAATGCCCAAACTCACATATGTCCTCCCTTTAGCACCTGATAACCACTAATATAGATTTCCTCTTCATTTGGGAAGAACAGCGTCAGACCACGTGGACATGAATACACTGAAGCTCTACATGAACGACTGTTATGAACCTGCCAATGAGAAATAAATTAGCAATGCAGGTATCAAAAGAGAAACATAAATAGCAAACAGACCTGGCACAGTTGTAACTTACCCACACTGTATACTGGGGCTCTGTGGAATGGCAGTCTTTGGCCAGGATATATGAACAGGTTCCAGGAAAGTAGTAATACATCCCATCAAAGGTCTCAAAATGATGCTGACCCCATGAACGGCAAATCCCATCCCTGTCCTGACCATGGTTGGGAACTGATACAAAAAAAAGACAAAAATCTCCTATACAAAAAAACTACTGTGGTGGTACCATGACGCAATAAAGTGCTTATAATACTATGGAATTATCGGACTGAATGATTACAAAATATACACACTACCATTCAAAGGTTTGGAGAAGACTCATTTGCTAATCAAGACTGCCGTGACTTGATCAGAAGTACAGTATAAACAGTAATACTGTTTTTACAATTTAAATGGCGATGGTATAATGGTTATTTTAAAATGTAATTTATTCTTTAATGACAATGCTGAATTTTCAGCATCATTACTCCAGTCTTCAGTGTCACATGATCCTTCAGAAATCATTCTAATATGATGCTTTGCTGCTCAAGAAACATTGCTTATTATCAATGCTGAAAACAGTTGTTCTGTTTAATATTTTTGTGGAAACTGTGATACATTTTTTTCAAGATTCTTTGATGAATAGAAAGATAGAAAGTTCAAAAGAACAGCATTTGTTTGAAATAGAAACCTGTCCCATTTTATACATTTAATACATCCTTGCTGAATAAAAGTACTGTCTTCAAAAGAATACATACAGTATGGCCAAAAACATGGTATTGTCATGGTACATGCCTATTACTACTGTATGCTACCAAGTCCAAAAATCCATGGTGGGAGTATCAAGGTACTGTAATTCTTGTTATTTTTTGTAAATGATTATTCAACCATTTAATTCAATATTTGTGTTCCATGTAATCTATGCCCTGTTAGGCATGTAATCAGTATGGCTTATATGAATACAGTATATGTAGTATCCTGTTATTCTGCTGGTCACACCAGCTGCCTAGCCTTATAGTGCTTGGTAAATTAAACACACATACAGAGCTCTTTGTGACCAGCAATCTATTCCCAGCACATCTGTAATCCAATGCCAACAAATGCAGTAAGACATAGTCACGATTAACCGGAACCAGGGAGTAATGCCACTTGAATTCTAGTAATTAAATTCAGGGTTCTTTTATCCACATTTAATGCTCAGCACTGGGTGGCAGATGATAATATCAGACAGTACCTTACTACAATTACATGGAGGCATAATGGAGGCATTTTAAATTTAATGTAACCTGTGTGTGTGTGTGTGTGTGTGCTTACTGATTTGACAGCGATCCCCGAGACCCTGGAACTGAGCACAATCACAGCGTCCTTCCTCCTGGCACCAGCCCCCATTAAGACACCCACAATATTCTACAGCACACAGAAACACGAGAGGCAAATTTCACAAAACATCAATAATAACGCAAACGAAACTTAAAATTATGGGCCAAGCACTGAAAGTGAATAGCTCCAGTGTTTTTGTTCAGACAGATTTTTGATTTTCCATGAAACTTGGCCGTCTAAAACTACCTAAAGAACGTCTCAGGTTACTTATGTAACCATGGTTCCCTGAGTAGGGAACGAGACACTGCGTCCTCTAGGGGTCGCCATGGGGAACGCCGCGTCGTGACCCGTGTCTGAGCATACATTGAAAAAACACCAACTCGTTGGCCGGCGACAGCCATGACGTCACTACCGGTGTGACTATAGTATAAATAGGCGCCGGGAGCACACATCATTCACTTCTTCGTCTGAAGCTTGCGTCCGCAGCATGGCAAGAAACCTAGAGGACGCAG